ATGTCAATTAGGGTCTTTTGCATAGCTGACTATTACAGATTTAGCTGACTATTTAGATTTAGATAATACATAGTATGCATTGCATATACATATGAACAAAAGTATGTATGTATGTGCATATACCATTTATAATTTTGTTTTATATGGGCTTCCCCTTCACTGTTCTTCATCCAAAAAACCCAACATCATTGTAAATATTCCATAAATTGATTTTGTTATCTGAAAAAAAAGGCATAAGAAGATTAGCATACTTGGTCAAGCACACATTTGTTAAATATACTATATCCTTACCGAAAGTGCTGTTTGCACAGAGAGCGGCAGGACGCCACCAATTTTAATTTCACTAGGATTTTGTGACCTCATCAATATGAATATAATCATTTTCTGATTTTTCACTTCCAAGTCGTACCAATTGATATTGTAAAGTTCCTCATAAAATGCATGATTCTAGGATAAATCGAAAAAATCGCAATAGTTTTACTAAGACCTCAAGTTGACTTAAAATTTGTACACAGCGCTCTTCCTATTTGCTTACACAAGTTTCGATTTTCGTGCCAATAATACAGTATAGATAAAGTCCACAAAATGCTACCAAAATGTACAGGTATGCACCAGGCCAATCGCCCAAAAGTAGAATATAAAGAGTACAAATAATTGAGATGCCCGATGTAACGATTTGCATAGTTATTATGTAGTAGAATACATAGTTACAACGCTCATTGTAGCTAAAAAAAAAATATACCAGTATTTTAGCGACAAAAGAAAAAAATTTAACGTTTCACACCAAATTGCAAAAAAAAAAAATATGTGTGTGCTTACTCTGTATAGTATTGATGCCATTCAATAATATCGACTAATAGCTTTTCAGCCGTTTTACTTTTTTCAGCAGCAGCCTCATTTAGTGCTTTGACTTTCAGCACCAAAAAGTCACGAAATAATTCCGGTTGTCCCAAATATATAAGAAAAAATAAATCGCCAGCAAATAGACCGAAAATGCCAGCTAGAAAAACCACTGTATGCACCGCCATTGTAGCCAAATAGCCAAATTGCGTTCCAACATCCAGGCCGGGTATGAAAAAGTGCATTACGTAGACTTGCTTCTCAGTTACAATGACCAGAATGGCAGTTAAAAGTAGTATGCCCACTGCTGTAGCAGCATAAATGTTTCCAACCATTTTTATGACCTGCCATACACGTTCACAACACTCCTGCAAGGCCTTGCAATAGG